GGCTAGGAAGAAGGCCTGGAGCTTGAGTAGGAATTCCTGGCATTTAATGTAGCACTTCTTGAAGGAGTTTCCACTTGGTAGGTTGCTGTTCTGTGTGTTTTGTTCAATGAGTTGGTGCAGCATCCCTCCACTCATGAGTGGAGGTGAGCCATTATATTTTGCTACCTGGTTGCCCGTTGACCCACTGCACTCTGCCTTCTTCCCCCAACAATTTATTGGTTTGGATCATAGCCAGCTAGCTGGCTTGCTCAAAACCACATTTCTTACATTTTGGCTAGTGAGCTGCCAAGAAATGAATTTGTACCAGAGGGCAGCCAACAGCAGTGAGGAGAAGGAATGAAATCACTAGAATAACCTTGAGGGTGATGTCTTTCTTTCTCTAGACGCCCATTTCCACCCGGAGACCGTGTCACGTTCAATGGGAGAGACTGCCTTTGTCAACTCTGTGCCCAGCCGATGTCCTCCAGCCCCAAGGAAGCCTCCTGCTCCAGCAGTAAGTGCCCGGTGTGACCCCTTGATGTGATGCCTTCATAGTTCAAAGGGAGCTTAGGCAGGTTTCTGTAGCTGGCTTCCTTTTTAGAAAACTCTGTTAGCTGGAGCCAAAAGTAGTTCTGGCCTAGGCATCCTCAGTTATAAAGTTTGATCCTTGGCGAAGACTTTCACTAAAACCCATGCAGTGAAAAGCATCCCCCTTATTTAAAAAAAACATAAAGTTGGACGGACATCAAACTGCATTTTGATGGTAAATGAAAGACAAATAATTCTAACCCTGCACTTTAGAAAACACTCACCTATGATTTTGGACGTTGAGAGGTAGCCACATTGGGAGGTGATGTGACTGACTGCCATCTTGGTTTAAATAACTCTCTCCACTGCCCCAAGGTACAAATGTGGTGACTTGTCCCAGTTGCCAGTTGCTGTGGAATCAGTTCTGGCTCACAGTGACCCATGGCTGTCATAGTAGAACTGTGTCCTAGGGTTTTCAGGGGCTGATTTTTTAGATTGCCAGGTCTTTCTTCCAAGGTGCCTTTGGGTGGACTCAAACCTCTAACCTTTCAGTTTGCAGCTGAATGCATTAACCATTTGCACTTCCCTGGGACTCCATGGTGATTTATTCCAGAAAAACCAAACTCACTGCCATCAAGTTGATTCCGACTCATAGCGACCCACATTGGGTTTCTAAGGCTATAAATCTTTACAGAAGTAGATTGCCTCATTTTCCTTCTGTGAAGCAGCTGGTGGGTTTGAACCACTGACCTTCTGGTTAGCAGCCAAATGCCTTATCCGCTATACCACCAAAGCCCTGAAATAGTTCTGTATCTACCTGGATAGTGTCTGTCATTTGTTCATTGAGCAGATCATTTGCTGAGCACCTGCAGTATGCATTGCACTGGCAAGATAACTGTAAACAGAAACTCTGCATCCCCGGGAAGCTCCGTGTCCATTGGGAGCAGGTAGATGGTGATGCAGACACGTAAACATATCTAGTAGGCCAAGTGGTAATTAAGTCTTGGGAAGAAAAGTGAAGTAAGGCCAACGGGCTGCTCTTATCCAGGCAGCCGGGGTAACTTCTCTGAAAGGTGGCACATCAGGAAAGACCTAAAGAAAGGATGGGAATAGACCACACATACATGGTGGGATTTGTAATTTTATATGAAAAGATCTCATCTGACCAGTGGGACTCCAAATAGAGCTAACTTGCTCCCCAATAAAATAGTAGCCAATTAACTCTGTTTCTTCTAGTGAATGTTAGTGTAGGTTAGTTACTGACTTTTAAGTGAAAAAGTGTTCTGAATGCTGAACACCAAGCAAGGAAGCTCCACTTCCATCTTACCTCCTCCCTTTTTCCTACCACTGGGAAGTGGGTAGTGTTTGTATCTCTTTCCATGTATTTCACTGCTCCTTGGAAGACCTGGAGTGAATCCCGTAAGCCCTACGAGTCTCACTACGTAAGTATGAGATAAGCTGCTTCTGCTTGGGAGGAATTTTATGTGGTTTGTACAGTGATCCCAGCTCTTCCCATTACATAGAAGAGCCTTACGCTGGTTCAAAATAAAAATGCTCTGACGGAAGCATTTGTTTAGCAATTGGATTTTGACCACTGGGAGGAAAGGGAAGTGTGAAAGTATGGGTGTACCTTACTCAATACCCATGACTGGATCCTTAACTTGTTAATGTATATGACTTACTGATAAATAATAAGAGCCAGGTGGGACAACAACTAAAATGGCAGGTATAAGCCTAGACCCCTGGCACAGTTTCAAGTGGAAACAGTCATTGTTGTTAAGTCCCTGCCCAGAGAGAGAAAATTAGCCCCATGTCATCAGGTAGGTGCCTTGGGTGGGCACAACCACAGGCATTGTTTGAGAGGGTGTATTAGTTTCCTGGGGCTGCCAAATTACCGCAAAGTGGGTGGCTTAAAGTAACAGAAATGTATTGTTTCACAGTTCTGGAGGCTAGAAGTTCAAAGCTATGGAGTTGGCAGATCCATGTTTTCTCAGAAGGGGAAGGTGTTTTTCTAGACTCTTACCTGTCTTTTCCTAGTAGCCCAGGTTTCGTGGCTTACGGCAGCATAACTACAATCCTTGCCCTGTCTTCACATGGCTGTTCCCTCTCTGTCTGTCTGACCATGTCTCCTCACCTCATTTTCTTTCTTTTTATTTATTTATTTATTTATTTATTTATTTATTTATTTATTTTTATTAGGATTTGGGTGAAGATTTACAGAGTAAATTCACTCTTCATACAGCAGTTCACATACACTTTGTCTCATGTCATCGACCAAAATTTACAATGCAGCAGCTCCCCTCCCACTTCCCCCCCACAGTTACCTCCTCCCAGTGTCCATCCCTTCACACTCTTTTGCACCCTGAGCTATCTCCCCGCGCACAAGCAGCCCTTCCTTCTCCCATGATTGTTCTCTCCAGGGCGTGCATCCACCCGAGGTAAATGTTCAACTCACATGCCTGTACTTTGTTTGGCTTCACCTCATTTTCTGAGGACATAAATCATGTTGCATTAGGGCCCACTCTTCTTCAATATGACTGCACGTGAAAAGTGATTCCATCCACAATGACTCTATTTCCAAACAAGGTCACATTCACAGGTACCAGATACTAGGAGTTGAATATATTTTTGGGGGGGAAATACATCTCCAACTATAACAGAGGGATTGCTTTGCAAGTGTATTACCAAAACCTTTGGAGGAATTCTTCAGTCTAGTGAAAGAAAGAGGCTGTTATGATGACAGCCGTAACAGTAGATCATGTCCACAGGTCTATGACGGAAATGACTGCATCACCAAATTTTGTACCATCTAACCATCTTTTTGGATAGTTGGGGAAATAGAGGTCCATGGACTTATTCAAGGTCATACAGGTTATTTAATGATCAGGTAGAATTGTATACAGATCTTTTGATTCCTGGTTATGACTTTGTTTGTTGTTTTATCTAATACTCCTCGTTGTTTAGTTTAAGAAACAGGAGTGGGTTATTTTTAAAGACTTCCAGTCCTTTCAGTCTATGCAATCTGGGACTGTGTTTCCCAGTCACCACTCTGCCAAAATGGTTATCCATATTTTTATGTAAATGCTTTGTCTGTGTTTTCTATAACATACATGTTGTGCACATACAAAAGAAATAAAAAAAAAATGTAAGTGTAAAAATGTGATCAAACTCAAATGTGTTGCCTTTTTAATACTAGATGTAATATTATTGCTTGTGTACAAATTATTGGGGCAAATTGTATTTTCTCTTTTGCTTCTAACGGGTAGCATTCCATTTCTGTGTACTTGCTTTGATCAGACCATTTTTATTTTTAATAAATACTTGTCTATTTAGGTAAGTTCTCAACTGGCATTTATCGGGCATGTGGGTGTGGATGTCTGTGAAGAAGAGAGCTCTTATATCTGGATATACACATGCATGTGAAATACCAAACTAGGCAGGAAGGGAGATTTACAGCAAGCTCCTGAGATTCATTGGAGCGTAATTAGAAAACACTTGGTTGTTATTTTGTAATATTTTAAGAATATCCTATACTTTAAAATATCCTAGTGTGACTCTAATTCCTATTTAAACAAAAAAAAAAAAATCTGTATACTTGGCAAAGCTTCCTATATAGAAGCGGAAAATGTGCTTTTTTTAGTGTGAAACATTTACACTCTCCCTTGATGATGTTCCAGAGTCAATGAAATGTATCAGACAGCCAGTGTCCTCTTTTTTCTTTGAAATGTTCTGTTTGAAAATGGGTTTGCTCTTCTGAACCGCTGTTTTATTTCACATCTGGAAGCTGTTTTCCTATAGTCACTGAATTGGAGGTGAAGACAGTTGGAGAGGGAGGATGGAGGTGAGAGTGGCCAGCAGAAGCTAAGTGATGATTCAGTGAGAATTTACATAAAATATTCTCTGAGTTGAGTGAATAAAGATGCAGCATTTCTATTCCAGCTGCTCAGGGGCTGCGACATCTGTATTGTGTTATACTCAGTGCTTTCTTTTACCTTACAGTAATTCCTCTATCCTTTATAACTGTTGTATTTTCTTCTCCAGACACTCACATAGTACTTGCTGTGGAATTATCTTACCAATATTAACTCATTTAATCCATATCACACCCTTATAGGTATATACTAATTGTATCAAGGATCCCCAACACCACACTTCAGTTCTGAGATTCGCTAAAAATACTCATGGAACTTAGAAGATTTGTTCTATTGTTTGTTGATCACAGTGAAAGGATACAGATTAAACTTAGCAAAGGTAAAAGGCACATAGGACAGAATCCAGGAGAGACCAGACACAAGCTTCCAGTTGTCCTTTCCCAGTGAAATGTACAAACAGTGCTTAATTCTTCCAGCAATGATGTGTGATGATACAGAGAGTATCGTCAACCAGGGAAGCTCACCTGAGCTTTAGTGTCCAGGGATTTTACTGGGATCAGTCACATAGGTATGGAGCCCCTCCAGAGATCAGATTGATAGATACAGTGTGCCCTGACATCCCCATCATAAATCACATTGCCAGCATAAACTATCTGGAGTGGCCCAAGACTTCAGGTAAACCAAGACACTGTAATCAGGATATTCCAAGGGCTTAGAGGATCTCCCAGGAGGTAGTCAAGGACCAGACCTTTCTTTGGACTGTTTAGGGTTTCAATACCCAAGACCGACCAAGTCAACCTTTTACTACACAACAATATTATCCCTTTTTTTCTTACAGATGAGGAAATGAAAGATGCTAGAGGTTAAGTAATTTGCCCACGGGTCCGCAGAGCATAAATGACAGAGCTGGGATTCAATCCTAGGCTGTCTTGCTCCAGATTCCATATTACTATTCCTAATATTTCTTTGAGGAGCTCTGGTGGTGTAGTGGTTCAGACATTTGGCTGCTAACTAAAAGGTTGGTGGTTCATGGTTCAAACCCACCAGCCACTCCACAGAAGAAAGATGAGGCATTCTGCTCCTGTAAAGATTGACAGTTTTGGACACTCAGTAGGGGTTGCTATAAG